TATACATTTTATCAGTAGCAAGATTAGGAGAAATAATCTTAGCACAGAACTCTACCTACCTTCTGACTGTTACATCATTTATTTTAATTGTCTCTAAAGGGAGTGTCTTTTTTACAACCTTAATAGATGTCACAGTTGTTCTCAATCTGGTCTTGGCTAATAATTGATTAAATTTTACTTAAATACTAAAATACATTAAATGAACCCATAAGCATAACCTTACAGTCTTCATTTAAAAAAAAAAACCTTTTTATAATTGTAACAGTTGTACAGCTTCTTAATTGTACAACCAAAGTTCAGAAGACTGTAAAGTTGTTTAATTTTTATGGTTTTAAGACCAAAAGATGGAATAGTTTGTTGGTGTGGTGACAAGTTTCACTTGCATCTGTAAGGAAAGACAGATTTACACTTTGCCAATAGCAATCACATCTTAAGTTCCAATTAAAATGTGACTTTTTCAACTCAAAACGCTCCATGTGATAGTTTAGCCATCTGTTGGACTAAATAGCCGCCACTGATTTGAGCCTAGATAATTATTTCAATAAGAGTAGTGCTGGGAAAAGTTCAACTCACATTCCAGTTGAGAATGATGATTAATTATGAAGAGATAATTAGTAGTTGCAGTACTTATATTCAGGAGATAAATAGGGGTAGATCTCCCCAGTGTTGGTATGGATCATGGACAGTGTATAATTATATACATATTATTATTAGTCTTCTTTTAAGATATGTACCACAGGATATATTTACTAAGATGTCTTCCACTTTAAAGAGAAGGCTGTGTTTCATACGTTACCTTGCTTAATGCTTTGTATTTGATGTTTCTGTGAAAATACTGGTACCTCCAGTTGTTACGTGAATGTTTTTGTGTTTCATGGCCACTCTTAAGGAATCTGTAGGCTTTGTCTCTGGTGACATCTGACTGTCTTTAGCACGCCCTGCTATTATGTGCCAGGAAGAACTTAAAGCAGTGGTCAACAGCTGACAGAAAGATTTCAGATGGCAATGATTCTCAGAATTTATACTAAATAATCACTTTAGATTGCTTTGTGATAAAGTTGATTTATAAGAAGCACAACTGATTAATTTCTTCTTCACTTTCTTGATATGAGCGCATTTGAGTTGGGAAATGAATAGAAGCCAAGTATGGCAGGGAAAAAATAAGACTCTGACTTTTAACTTTAACACCTTATAACCAGGCACAGCATTATCGAGCTCTGTGTGGATTGGGAGTGCTGTCATTTATTGCTGGTTCTTTAGTGTTAGGGGTGAAAGGATTTTTAACATGATTCTTTCTCTCAAAGGAGAGAAAGAATTTCTGTGACTGGCTCCTGCATTCTCATTTTGGGTGTAAAACCAAGTTTAATTATGTTTCATATACAATACGTTATTTCTTGGCCCTCAGATCCTCCGGTTCAAAAATCTTATGAAGTTAGATTGCATCAGTTTAGAACTTGTGGCTTAATATGACAAGTTACATTTTTATCTTTATGCTGTTAATGAAGAAGGGTTTTAAATGATTAATGAGAAAAATATAGGAAGAAGAATTTCAATTATCTTAGTATGGCATTAGAACATTTAGGCTGAATCACAGAATGAGGTTAGCTTTGAAAGGATTCCTCTTCAGTGTTTAAGATCTCCAGGTTTGTGAAAGCTTGTTGTGGCCTTAAATGTAAAATGAGAATAATTCCTTGTTATAGATTATTATTTCCAATATATCATGAGGCTTACATTTGAATCCAGCATTTCTATATACATAGCTTATGGTCTTGGGAAAGTTATAATTTTCTATAAAATATTTTCCAATAAAATATTTTTAGGGAGCATTTTGAGGCTCAGATAATGAATCTAAGCCTTTTTGTATTTATGTCTGATCATCTTAAGCACTCAGTAGGAGTTAACTGTTATTAATATTAATCTAAAATTAAATTAAAACACTATAGGTTTCCTTGAAAGATAAACATTTTGACACATATTTGAGATATAGAAATTTCCTTGAAAAACATATATTAGACTGTAAAAGTTTTTATTTATTTTGTTATTCTTTCCAAGGAGTATGAATCAAGTATGATTTTAATAGACATATGTAGGCTATTTTTAGTCAGCTTAGTTTTTCATTGAGCTCAACAATTTTTATATAAGAATTTTTATAACATTTTATTAATGATAAACTGTGTAAAAGTATGGAGTAAACAACAGAATGCCAAGGAGAAGAGAGCTGAAAACTAGAAAACATGAAACCTATCTTCTAGCTTTGGCAAATTGCTTCATCTATTTGGGTTTGAATTTCTTCAAACATCAGAGAAAAATAATGCCAAATAATTTATATGGCCATTTACAATGATCATTTATAATTGATCATTTATAATGATCAAATTATAATTGTACAGTAAATGCAGAATTCTTTTTAAAAATTATATCACATATATACATGGGCAATATTGAATCCTGTCTTTGCCTCTACTCATTTTTTCACTCTGTAGGAAAGAGCCTATGATTGCCTTATTTCAAAGTTAAGTTTTTTCTCAACACTTGATAGAGTAAGTTGTCAGGTGAACATAAACAATCTCTTGTTTTACTGCTGCAGGACCTTTTTCTAGTTTCAGATGAATCAGTCTAACATATCAGGCAAAGAGCCTATAATCCTTGTGAAATTACATAAATTATAAGTAAGAAATAATTGCATAAATTATTATGATAAATAACTGTTACTGTTATAGTAAAAGGTATCTCTGCTTTTTTATTAAAATGAAAAATAATTTGAAAAGAAATACTACTGTAAGCTTTTAATTTAAAAAGATAATTTGCCTTCTGCTTTCCCTACTCAACAAACTTATATGTTTAAGAAACTTGTATGCTTATTAATACAATTCAATCAGTTTAATAAAATGACTTAGCTTCCTAAATTCCTAATTTGGAAGAGAAATGTCTGATATAAAAATAGGCATAATAAAAAATAGAAGTATGTATTTTTGAATATTATGTGGTTATCAAAAATTGAAATTAGAGAAGCAAAATTGCTGATATTTCATTAAACATCATTATTTCCATCCCTGAAACCAGATGAAGGGTCTAATAATATAGGCTATAAAAGTGTGAACTCTCACTCCTGTTTGCATGATACTAATTATACTCAAATAGTTTGTTTTCTGTTTTGACAGTGGAGTATCTTTATTCTCACATTTTCTGTAATACTTTTGCCTTAAAAATCATTTATGGAAGTAGAACATTAATAGACACTGAATTCCTATGTAGTTTATCGTCCTGGGCTAGGCAGGGGTCATCTTTTAATGAGACACAGATTTATAGCCTAATATTTATTTGATTCTGGACTAGACAGCTTTATCCACATAGTTGGTGAAGTAGGAAATACAATGAAAAGGCAATATGAGTTTTAAGGTTATACTTCTGTCATTGTATGACACTTTTTAAAGGTTTATTTCATCTGACCATTTTCTCCATTATCAAAGCACAGGTATGCCCTTCTGATTGCCCTTCTGATTGCCCTTCATCTTGTCTGGAGGATGCTTCTGCTGCAAGTTCACTCCCATTTCAGGGGCTTCTCTCTTTTGCAGAAATCACATTCCAGTAAGCCGCTGCTTTGTTGTCAGAGGTATTTAGCCATCATTCCAGACATCTCGCAGGTTAGGACCCTGAGCTGTGCCTGCCTTTTCCCTCCAGAGGCTCCTTCAGAAGGAGAAGCAGTGAGGAAGTCTGCAGAGGTAGCTGCAGAAATTGCTTCCTAGTTTCTCTGAGGTCAGAGTCTGACTTCTTTCCACACTACACAAATTATTCTGAAGACCGTCTGAACTGTTGTCTGAATTTAGTTGTTTAAGAATGTTATTTGAGACATAAACTTACTCATTTGGTTAAAGTAAATGCTACATGTCAAAGGTAATAAATAGAACGTATGAAAAAGTCTCATTTAGGTTCCATTACAAAAAAAAATTTAAAGGATCTCAATTAGTTCAGAGACTTCTTATTAATGATATCTGTACATATTTTGGACTAAGGCTTAGAAAACTCTAAGGTTGCATACAATCATTATATATGCTAGAGTCTTATGATACTTTTATTTTGTACTCTTACGTTATTTTGCTATTCATGTGGTTTAATCTTCATGTTACTTTTTCTCTATCTTAATTAAAAATGTTCTGTGTCATTAAGTATCTTCATCTTTCAGCTAGGCTATTTTACATGTAATTATGGGAAAAAAGAATGGAAAACTGTGATTATCAAAAATGATACAAAGAGTTGCAAATAATTTGTAGTTAATTAGGAGTTTAGCTGGGGAACTAATTAATTTTTATGTGATTTATATGGATTTCCAACAGTACCTATTAAATTATTAATATAAACTCTAATTTACAAATAAAGAAAAGCATGGCTTTACACACATAGGCAAGTAATTTCACATCTAAAACATCAAACTTCTGATATTTGGAAATCATATCACTCTACAACTGACTTTGAAGTTTGTATTTAATCTTAAGTATTTTTAAAGCATTTTAATCCCATCATTTGCCACAATTTAGGCTGTAAACATCCATAATATTTGTATAAAGATTATTTGACATGGTGTGAGTGTTAGTTTTTCAGCTCTCTTTTAGCCTTGTCATTTGTTTTGTTTTGTTTTTTGTTTGTGCTTTGTCCTATATTGCAAAAAGACCAAAGGACTTATTTTATTTGCAAAATCCAGTCAGCAATTTTGCCACTGCTGGTTCCTCCTCTAATTTAATGGCCTTGACTAAATACTTGTGACAATGGAGCTGTAGGAATAATGATGGATCTGTGTAGCAACTAAAGCTGTAATCTCTAACTAGCTTTCATTTTTCATCTTTACAATTTCCATTTCCTCTCTCTACTGAAATAAAGTCATTTGAAATAAATGGATACTCCTGCATGTATTGATGGTCCTCCAAGCTCTTTGGAGAATGACACTGGCCTGGTGATGATACTGTTAATAATTTTTTTCATATTTTCTCTCTTTTTTTTTTTAGTCTCGACCCATTCCTTCCCACCTTACTTCAGCAGTTGCTGAGAGTATATTGGCTTCAGCCTGTGAGAGCGAGAGCAGAAACGCAGCCAAGAGGATGCGACTGGACAAACAGCAGGTACTGAGGACTCGTGGGGTCTGGGTTCACCAGCGACAGCAAATACAGTTTATTGATGTAGATGAGCAAAACTGAATGGATCTAAAGTAGACAGAGATCGTTTGTGTGCCTTTAGTTATGAATTTGAGTTTGAGCAATGCTGTGCTTAGGTGATCAGTAGAGATCAAACACACATTTTCTGTGATGAAAAATGGACAGTGATAAAACTGTTATAATTCTGCTGATTTAAAGACAAATTGCTTATTAAGATGCCCTGACCAATCATTTATAATAGCTTTGTAAATTTAGCTTATCATTTATCATTGTTTGAATAAAATAAACCTTTAATTTCCTCTGACCTACTGCCAGTTGCCAGTAGAGTAATGCTGTAGGTGGTGAAAGCATAAAACGACGTTCTTGGTACTGGTGATCGAACACAGGGCTCTTGCACTGCCAGCTACAAAAGCAATAAAATGGGGACAGCATCTAATAAAAATCCATGCCCTGGGATTATCCCTTCATCAATTAATCAGTTATTGTATACTCACAACAAATCATCTCTCTCTCTTAGCTGGGGCCTTAGGCCTTGGTGGTGAGGGTGCATGCACGGTGGGCGTGCCTTGATCATTAGGGTTCCAGTCAGTTCCTCTGGTTTAGCTGTGCCTCTCTGTCCCCCCTCATGTTCTCTTGAATCCCTTTCTCTTCTTTTCCTAATTCTCTTTCTTAGTTTTCCGTAAGAAAGAACTAATCTATAAAATATGAAATTCATTATATTGATCCACTGCATTCAATAATAAATACTACATTAAATATTATAACTAATATATTGAATAATACATTTATACTATTAGTCTATTGAATATTATATGCTTAAATTTTACTGTATTCTGGTTTTTTAATTATTTTACAAAGAACAAACTCGATGCTTCATATTTCTCATTGAGGTTGAGATGAGAAGAGAGACTAACTTAAAGTAGCTCAGTTTTGTTTTCCCTGTGCACTAGTGAATTTTTTTTTTTTTTTTTTTTTTTTTTTTTTTTTTTTTTTTTTTTTTTTTTTTTTTTTTGGTACCGGGGATTGCACGGCAGGCCACCAAACCGCTGAGCTAAATCCCCGGCCCTGTACTAGTGAATTTTAAAGCAAAACATTTTCCCATGCCATGCTTAGAATACTTTAAAATGTCTCAGAAAAGCATCAAATCTGATGATGATTATTATGAAAATGTCATAGATTCATAATTCTGAACACGGCTAAAGATGAAGCCACCAGCTAAATAAAAATACAATATTGGTCTTGGAAATGGGTATGTAAAAATGAAAATTATGAATTTATTAATCATACTGCCAGTATTTATTCATGTGTGTAGCCTCAGTTGAGACTTTTATTATTAAACCTGTGGAATTTATCTTTTCTAAAAATGAGTTGCAGTACTATATCCACAATACCATCTAGCATCATGATTCTGATGGCATATTCTGGAGTGAAATATACCCCATTTTGATTCCCGTCTCTGTCATTACTATGTAGCCCTCAGCAAGTTATGCCAGTTTTGTGTGCTTCATTTCATAGAAAGGTAACAGTAGCAATGCTTGTTCTATTGTGTCGCTATGAGAACAGTCAGTGACAGACACATGTTACATATTTGGCACTTTGGCACATCGTGGGCATCAATAAATGCAGCTTAGAAATCATAGGTTGCATTAATATTAATAAAACTAGAAAGAGGCATTAATAGTATTATTGATGGTACAGGAGTTGTGAAGTCACATTAAGTCCATTTGCAAAAAAAGTTTACTTGTGAAATAGAATTTTGAAATAGAGTTATCTTGCTTGTCATTTAGCCATATATCTTACCTAGCCTACGTTCTGGAGTATCTTTACATATTGTCAATCACACAAACAACTGTTATGAAAAGGAAATGGCAGACACACATTATATTTTACCTACAGTATCTCTCTATAATATTCCGCATGCTGGTACCCACTGATACTTGGTCCACACAATTAACTATTTCTGTCTAAGATATGAACTAAGATATAAACTAAGATATCAACCTCATAAAGTTGCCATGAAGATTTAGTCAATGTATGTGAAAGCATGAATGTTTAATATGTTTACATGTTGTTAAAGATATATTTGCTTGAGTACCTCATAGCAGGAAAATCTCACTCCAGCACCAAAATGTCTACTGTTTACTTGAATAAGAGAGCTACCTAACCTGTCAGAGAGCTACCACTGTTTTGACGATCATTATACTGAACTTACTTTGCTTCCCAGAGCTTTCATCACTTAAAGGAAATTTCCACTGAAAGTGAGAATTTCTACCACTGTCCCTTGGACTGTGGAATTAATGGTCCTTTGCCTAACAACTCATGTTTGCCATTTCTCAGTCATGGTCATAGCACTTGTTTACTGCAAAGGTCATGACTATTGCATGAGGGATGCCCGTGATGCCTGATGCAGAGGAATATTCTTTCTGGGCCCTAAAAGAATTCAGAGGATTTGAGATTTATAGGGGATAAGGAAGAAATGACTTTCTAAATCACATTCTGTGATTTATTGGAAATCCACTAGGCACTGTACAGATTGTTTTTCTTCATCTACTCTTGTCAACCACTGCATGAGTGTTCTTCTCATTGACATCTGAGAGCGCCGAGGCTCAGAGATGTGGGATTATTTGCACAAAGTTGCCAGCTACGAGGACAAGTCAGGTTAAGTGTATGTTCCTGAGGTAGACACTAGATCTTTCTGTGACCTCGGAGTGCTTTCTTATTGATTATGCTTTCCAAAATAAAGCCTATGGCTTAGAACAAACTCAAAGGACTCCTGTCCTCTCCCCTTTGATTGCTATGTTTCAATCGTACAGTTTTCTACTAGAAAATTATATAGTTCATTCACAAAGGCTTTGTACTATACTAGAAGCAGCAAACCAGATTTTGCCTCTATACCAGGCTCTTCAAAAATACAGATTTCCCAAAGCATTTAAGTTTATCTGAAATATGTACACTGTGTACACTGGCTTAGCATTTATAATTGTTATTGCAGGAATATCTAAACTATTTCTTCTTATTACCAGTTTCACAGATCTCCTTTGGGATGCCACACAGACCTCTAACATGTGATCTTCTTCCTACAAAAGCAGACAGTCAAGGGAGCCCTCTTGTAATTGGATCCAACCCTCTGCCTGAGCAGAGAGGGCCAGAGTTCACTGGGGTATTGGCACTGAGATTGTGCTTTCCATGTGCACGCTTAAACCAACTCATAGTTCTTAGAATTTGTTGTTGATTTAAAGATTCTTCCTCGAATCCCTGATTTTCTGTAGGTTCTGTAGGTTCAGAAAAGTCCAAAGCTAGATGCTTGAAATCTGTTTCTGTTAAGCTGCTCCTCTAACCCTTTGCCACTAGTGTGAGCCACGTGGAGAGCTGTAATTGTGTGTGTCCTTCAGATTTTATGAAGCTTGATGAATTAATTGGATTTTATAAAGCTCTTTGAGCTATGAACATGAAAGGTGTTACAGACGTGTTAAATACTTTATTTCAAATGTCCATTGCACACTAAACTCCAGAGGAAGCTTGTTATTATGCAGCCCCAGCCCTGAAGCAAGCCAGTGGCAGAGAGGAGCCTCCCCTTCAGGAGAAGTCACATCTCGCCAAACTCAGCCAATCTCTCATGTATTTAAAAATATATCCAGCATTTCCTTCCTTTCAATAAGAAAATCTGGAATTTTTGTATTATCTAAGAAATCTTTCCTTACTTTGGCAACTCAAAGAAAAAGCATAAGCAAAGTTCGACTCCACTTCTGTAGTTCTATGACATAACTCCAACGGATGGGTGGGATGTCCTTTTTATGTGTCTGTTATTTGGGTATTAATTCGTTTTTAACCTTAAAAGCAAAGGTTTCTCATTGTTCTCAGTCCTCTTGAAAAGACAGAGGCAGAAAATGAGAGAGATTAGAGCTATTTGCTGGTGGGTTATCTCTTAGTGATGTATACTGTTTGCTGTTTTCACCTTTTATTCATAGGATTGATGATGGGTCGATACAGGGCACTTTCCTTGATTTCTCTCCTATCTTGAAGTTAATTTAGTTTGCAGTTCTGTATAAGGGATCACATAGAATAACAGTCAAGGCTTTCCTGGCAGGAGCTGAGCAAATACAGCCCTTGAAGGATGAAGCATCAAGTGCCAGGTGACAGTTTATGCAGTGACTAGGAAAGGTGGGGAATCAATGACTGACTGAGATCTAACAACTTTGACTCCAGAGAAAAGAGCCCAGTGGGACGTGTGGCATGTTTGTAACCTGTGATATAGTGGAAGGTGAGGAAACAGAAAAATCCTGTACTAAAAATCAGTGCATCCCTAAGTCAAAACAACCAAACAAAAATTACATGCATACTTACATCGTCCAATACTTAAAAATATTTAATAAGTACATAGTTTCCTGCTACCGTTCTTCACTAGTGTTGAATTCACTGAGTTTTGTTTTGTTCTGTTAGGGCACAACTAAGCAGGTGCATTATTGAAAAATGTAACTGTAGGTTGAAACGTAACCTGTGAACGTGGTGACAATTTCAGTAGGGTTTTGATTTTGCCATGTGCACATTTGAAAACTATCCATAATACTATAGTCAAGGCAGTTTTGATTTAGGTGGTTTTTCTGTCACAGTGCTTCTTCCACAACATCAACTTTAACTAAGACCTAACACAAAGTGACATTTTTTCCATAGGATTTTATTCTTAAATTTAAACATTGTCATAGTAGCTAACTGTTCTCTGTGACCTATTAGCCCACACTTCGCTAATCCTATTCACAGTCATCCTCAGCTTTTTATTCTACTCCTGGCATCTCCTTTTCTATGTACAACATTTTGTAGAAAAATCTGTGTCTTTGAGTCTTTCAACATGTTTCAACCCAGTCCTTTCATGCACAGGAGAAAATATTCCATGTAAAGCAAAATAATGTTCTGCTGAAGGAAATTCTTGGACCATGTCCTACTTCCTGTGTCACACATAGAATTTTAAA